TCACTGTTGTGCTCTGATTACAAAATTTTATCAAAAGCTTTAGCCAATAGGCTGAGAGGAGCTATGGAGCAAGTAATACACTCAGATCAAACATATTGTGTGCCTGGCAGGTTAATATCTGATAACATCATATTATTGAGAGACGTTTTAGAAACTTCCAAGTTAAGTGGCATTGATATGGGTGTTTTGTCTCTTGACCAAGAAAAAAGCATTTGATAGGGTTGAACACGATTTTTTATGGAATACTATGCATGCTTTTGGTTTTACTCCTGGTTTTATTGATTATCTGAAAGTTTTATATGAAAATATTCAGTGTGTTAAAAGTTAATTGTGGCTTGAGTGCTCCTTTTCATGTACAAAGAGGCATCAGACAGGGATGTGCCCTTTCAGGCATGTTATACTCCTTGGCCATTGAGCCACTCTTACACAAACTTAGAGGTGACCTCAAAGGTTTGTATCTTCCCAGTTGTCCTTCAGCTCTGAAGTTGTCAGCCTATGCAGATGACCTGATTGTGTTTGTTGACAGTCAACAAGATGTTAACTTGTTAGCAGCTGATGTTGCTCAGTTTTCCCTGTTTTCTTCAGCAAAGGTTAACTGGGAGAAAAGCGAGGCCTTTAGCTTTGGAGGAAAGGTGAAGGAAACACTTAAACTGCCAACAGGACTCAACTGGAAAACTGTTGGGTTTAAATACTTGGGGATTTTTCAAGGTGACAATCTTTTACAAAAAAACTGGGAGAACGTGCTTGAAAAAATCAAAGGTCTTTTGTCAAAGTGGGCATGGATCAAACCAAAAATGTCCTATAGGGGGAGAGTCCTCATCATAAATAACTTGATTTCATCCACGTTCTGGCATCGCCTTGCAGTCATCGATCCCCCCTCCAACCTCCTATCAAAGATCCAGGCTCGCATGGTGGACTTTTTATGGGATCAAATGCACTGGGTCCCTCAGAGCATCCTGTTTCTGCMGAAAGACAGAGGAGGTCAAGGCTTGATCCACTTGAGCAGCAGAGGGGCTACTTTCAGGCTCCTTTTTATTCAACGACTTCTATGTGGTCCTCCTGACCTGTCATGGAGACCTGTGGCCTGCTACATCCTGAGACAGCTGTGTGGACTGGGGCTTGATAAAACACTGTTCCTAATGGACTTAAAACAGCTCAAAATCAGTGGTCTTCCTGCTTTCTACAAGAGCCTGTTCAAGATCTGGGGGTTGCTGAGGACTGAGAGAGCAGAAGCTCCTCTGTCTCTTCACTGTCTGCTTCAAGAACCAGTGGTGTATGGTACACGTTTCAGAAACTCTCAGCTGGGACCTACACTCGCTGAAAAGTTTTGCTCCTCRGGAGTGGTGACTCTGGAGCAGGTGGTGAAACATGCAGGTGCAAACTTGGACAATGCCACTGCCTTGGCTCACCAGGT